AAGTTTCTTATGCAATGATATCACTTATTTACCATGCTTAGTTTGGATACTGACCGAAGACTTGAACTATTTTCATGATTTTATAACAAAATCCCGTTTTCATATTTGTACCTTATCCAGTTCAATGTGTAGTGAGCTGACTTCGATCAAATGTTACTTATTTACTCCAGGTTAAACTTTACATTGCGGGTCCCTATGCTCAAAATACCAAAGGACAAGCAGTTTAACTAACCTTTATATTTGGTCTTAAAAATTTAAAGTTTGTCAAATAAATAGACTACGTTAACGCTCTCAAGTTTTACATTAAATTAATCTACTTTACAATTTTCTTTGGTTTGATCCATAAAGATGATAACCCATATTATGTTTAATCGATGATTAAAATACTCGAGAACTTAAAAAAGAACAGGAGATTTGAAGCAAAATCCTATTGTTTCTAGTGGGTAACTAGTTTCAGGGTTTCAACCCTATTTTCAAGTCATTTTTCTTCTCGTCAAACATATATTACTCAGCACTTGCCGTTGTAAAAATTTAAATTAATAATACACACAACCAAGAAACGCACACGAAGAAAAATTAACTTTACAATATTTGCAACACGCCAAGGACAAAACCAGACTAGACAATTTGAGAATGTGGTTGAAACCCCGAAACTAGTTATCCACTAAAATTAAGTTAATATTTCAAGATTATTTCACATAATACCTTGTGATACACACTTTAATACCTTTTCCCTTACGAGCACTGTGTTTATACACTCATTATGTACATTTGACCATCTATTCAAGGACGTTAGCACAGAAAACGTAAGAATACCAACCGCATGGTAAAAAGCATGGTACCAGCTATTGCATGGCAACGCTGGTGGCGCTGCCTACGGATTGACAGGCAAAGCTCTCTCAAATCGCTTAATGCTTTTTACCATGCGGTTGGCATTCTGGGTATAGTAGTACGTTTTCAGTGACGTTAGGCTCTATCCAGGACTGTACTTCAGGCTGGTCGTATGTGCATACATGTGTATTTGTCTCAAATCACCGTCATACGGTGCGAAGGGGGATATGGTATGCAGGGACGCCGATCATCACGTAATTGTATTATAGTTTCCTTTGGTAAAAAAACCTGCCTACCCCATGCCGCAGTGGACATGTCTGTGTGAATGTATAATAGCATTGACTATATATACCTTAGTCACCTGTGCAGTGTGGCAATTGTCAGACACTACACCTGTGGCCTCCATAGTGTTAGTATAGAGACGTCCATATATGGCTATACCTCACACATCTCACTTTACTTGGAGTTGACATTTACACTCTGAGCGATGTGGCAAAGAAATGTGGTCGAGTGCAGGAGATAACGTTAAAATCTAGCTAAACTAAGATATAAAACATGAACTTTTATTTAGGTTTTCGCGGTCCATGTCGGACATGTTTTTCCTTTTTCGTTGTCAAGTGGGTTTCCAGATCATATTCTCTGCTGATGTTTTGCCCTTATTTTGAAGTTACATTAGTAGTTGAACATAGACTACGCATGGGATTTAGTATGGTGACGTGGTTGACGCCGAAGTCTTGTTGAGAAAACAGATATGTTCACTACATGCCCCTACAAATCCGGAGCATACAATACTGTTGAGATTTTAATAAATGAACAGATTCTATTTATTTTAATGAACTCATTTTATTGAAAATGTAAACACAAAACAAAACTGTACAATCAAAACATAAACAATCATGACACAATAATGATCAGCTGGTATATCAATACAATTATCAGCTGGTATAACAATATAATTATCAGCTGGTATAACAATATAATGATCAGCTGATCACCTGGTATAGCAAATACTCTTAACTACAGAATGTAGCGAGGACGAAGATAAGGCTGTTACGACAATAAGCCGATACAGTACTGTACGTCCTCTCTGATATGAGCTGGGACATTGCATTTGACGTTACAAATGACGCCATTGATGACGCCATTTATGATACATTAATGACACAATGACGTTGAACAGTTGCTTGCAAAACAATCGCTAACTATATTTTATTTTAAATGTCTGCTGTTGACCATTACGATAATGGCAATCCCAAGAGATTTAATTACTCAGATTCGCATTCCGAAATTTAACTTTTTGTCAAACTTAATCAGAACGAGTATTATCAGGCCCGACAGGTTAACCCCGGAATAATATAATGTCAAATCAAATATAATTTGATTCCATTTTCATTACAATAATTTTGCCTCATTATTTTTTTTTCTAAAATAGATCAATCGTAATCGTACGAATTGTTGTGAACTTCAAGTGGAGAAGAATTTGGCAAAGCAGAACTCACATCATACACTTGAGTTGAAGTCAAAGTTGGGGGGAAACAAACTGATGGACTAAAACTGCTCGTTATGTTGACAGTTTGCGGTGAACATTTATAAACGTACGATTCAAATAGATGTATTTGGAGACAGTGCTTTTAATTGGTATTCAAACAATTATTTTACCGATGTTATGTTAGGGAGAGTTTTTCGTTTGAAGATGAGTTAATTGGTAGTATACAAACAAGTCAGAAAAGTTGACTGAGTTAAATATAGCGCTACAATAACCATCGATGTATCTATCTATCTATCTAAATGCATTATTAATGCATTAACGCACCGAAATGCATTAACAGTGACGCCTATCCGTTTGACCTCCTAAAAGATATCTATTTACTGTATAAACAAGTAGGTTTTACTCGTACGATACGAACTGGAACATAAAAGGGGTATATGGTGTAGGCTTTATAATCTTAGTGTTTCTTGGTATTTTGTTATGTAGGCCTGTTCTTTTCTTTTTTTATTCCATCAGTACAATGTTTAAATTACCTAAATAGTTCATCGACTGGCCTATTTTGTCCGTAATGCATTGTAATGTCTTTTCTATATACCTGAAACCCTATATTTTGACCAATAGATGTTATATTTTGCATTTTTATCACGCAATGAATCTACAATATTTGCGAAATTTTGCATGGTTGCCATTTTAATGAAAAGTATTAACATTATTTAAGAAACAAGTAAATATATTGACTGATGACACGGGATACATAGCCTATATTAATCATCCAGAAGTGGGAACCCAAAACTACAAATTGTATGACATGTTTTTCACTCTATTGTTCATAATTATTGCTGAGATATACTAATAAATTATAGTTTAGTTTCGTTCTAGCCTACGTCCGTATGTTGGCTGTCAATCTAAAATAGTTAACACAGTCGTAAAACGAGCTCCTGTGATCTCGCAGCTTCCGTTAGTGTTAGAAGGTACGCGCGCACTGCGCCGTCACGGCCGTCACCGCCGTCACCGCCTTTTTCAGGGGGGGTGCGCGCACTGCGACGGCACGGCCGGCCGTCACGGCCGTCACAGCATTTTGGACTGATGTATTTTGCAATTGAGTTGTTTTGCTGTGAGCAGTGAGAGTGTGGGAGCTATGGATATCGACGTAGACGTGGTGGTAGTTGGATTAATTTTAGGAGAAGAGGAAGAGGAGAGGAAGAGGAAGAGGAAAGCGAGATTTTGTATACATAATATAAATAGAAAACGACTAGGTTTTGATGAATTTCACACATTATTCCCCGATCTTGTAGAGGACGATTACAAATTTGTCTAGTACTTTAGGATGACCCATGAAAAGTTCGAATGTCTACTTCGAAACCTAGAGGAGAGTCTTTCTAGACATGATACAAATTTCCGTGCCGTGGGGTGCGCGCACTGGGACAGCACGGACGTCACGGACGCCGCGGAATTGTCCTGAGATTCGCTCCTCCGAACTTTCTGACAGACGTCGGTGGCGGCGGTGGCGTCGGTGACGGCCGTGCCGTCCTAGTGCGCGCACCTCCATTACATTACATGGGAACGACTTTTGGAAAAGGCCGGCCGTGACGTCCGTGACGGCCGTGACGGCGCAGTGCGTAGAGACTCGGTATTTCGTTCAACCAGGGAATGATTTTCCATCCTGTAAACAATGATTCTTGTTGATATTATTAATACGATTTTTTTATTTGTAGTATCAGTTATGTTGAAATTGTTGCATAACCATACAACTTATATTTTCATGCATACATGATACTGTAGTAGGGCCTACTAGTTTTGCCAGTTTATAACTTGTTTCGTAAGGGTCTAAATTTTGTCTACCCATCTATGGTGATAATTCAGCAACTCTTTAAGATCCATTTGGGCTTATTGCAGCTTACTTTTTTCGTTGTACAATTAATAGGCCTATACACTTCGTTTAACCTGTTGATAAACCGCACTAATACGGTCTTGTATTCAGATTTTTTTCACACACTGTACAACTGTACTACCTCTATTACTACCTGGTGTGGATCAACGTCCGCACTAGTGAGTACTACGATTATTCGTAGTACTTTCCTGATAATTAGCCCAATTCGTTAATACCAATGCAAAAATGTGGTTCGGATTCCACTGTACTGTAGGTCCCTAAGTTGCCATTGGCTGTATAGGTTATTAATTAACAGCTGTGTCTCAGGAATATGTCGGCCTTAGTCACTAACAAGACTACAAGATCGCTTCACTCATCCTCCACTCATCTTCATTCATTGGCTTAAAATACCGTACTCATTTCAATGTTGAGTTTTAATCCTCTTGGGAGTAGCCCTCAATTAAGAGTCTGACGAAAAAACTTCTTGATCATCACTCACGCCCTACTACCGTGGTTGGCAGTCGACTATTTTTCTCTTTTTCTTGACAAATATTTATTGAACATACCGGTACATCGAATGCAATTTCTACCGTCCAATTTCGTGCGGTCTATTTCTCCTGCTTCAGTATACACCCAACTAATTGTTTAATATCTGCGATCAGCTGATTAGTGTCGTCTGTGCGGGTGTTCTGGTCACAGGAAAGCTTACATCACCGAGCGGTTATTTCCGTACATCGGCTATCGGGCATCACACGGCTCACACCACACAGTCATAGTCACAGTAGCCAGTCTCAGTCAGTGTATGCTGTGGTCTGTGGTGTACTGTGTTCTGTGAGGTGTGTGGTGTTTTGTGGTGCGTTCAGTGATAGTGGAAATTCGGTGTCGGGGATTTGAGCGTTTCTGTGGTTATCGTGTTGTGTGTTTCTTACTTGGTTAATCCGACGATAGCATTGTTTTTGACCAGTAAATATTACTAGAGATTTTTTCAGTCACTTAAAAACAATAACCCTACAATCATAAGTCTGAGGGGAAATTGTGGGTTTTAGTAGCTGTGCAAAAGGCAGCAATATGGTCCGCATGGCATACTTGCGTTGTAGACATATATAGTTTCTAAATATATGATTTTTTCATCCCTGTTCAAATGTGTTATTGCAATGTATCCGCTCAAATGCACCAGATCTATTGGTGTGCGACTTTTCTTTTGGTGGTTGTTTATTAAAATTCCAGAGCTTACGTTTGCAAAAACAATTTCTCAACAAACTTAATGTTGTAAAATCGCTGGTGTTCCTGATACAGTACAACGTTTGACAAAACACATGCAGATTCATTTTTTATTTAATTATTTAATGCATTCTTAATTAATAGTGTCCTTTAAAAGTAAAATTCAGAAATTAAGTAGGTAATTTTATAAAAATCATTACTGTGAACTAATTAGTTTTATGAATGAAATAACTCGATTTAATAACAATCTAAAATAATTTGTTCTTTACACTAGTCTTTAGGCCTACAATTTTAAAATGTAAGCAAATCAAAAACTTCTTTCATTAAATCAATTTAAACTTACATCCTATCAGCCACAGTACAAATCTTTACAGTTGTTTTTTATTGCAAAGAATTTCTGTATAAAATCTAAGTGATTATCCATGTAGTGGCGAGTGGCGGCATGGTGACGGTGACATTCAATGTTAAAAGTTACTGAGAGACAGTTCTTGATAGGCTGTCGCTCTTGTTGTCATGGCAACCAAACTGTCCATTGAAATTGAGATGTTCTTAGATTATCTGGCTGATATCACTGCCACTGACTAGAGCCACGTAAATTGTGCTCCCGATTAAAATAACTGTAAAATAATTCAGTTACGTAAATTAATTAAAAATAAACTTTAAAAGACATATTCAAGAATTACATTTTTAAACAAATTTGATATTATGTGTAGATCTACTCACTTGTTTTAGTTTGACACTAATCATTTAAAAATTTGAAACATTAACACAACTGTTGCATGAATTTTGCCATCTTATAATATTGTATCCATTTTTGTAAACTGGTGCAAACCGTTGGGAAATAAATAAATAAACAAGGTATGATAGCCCCCAGATTACCAATAAATTTTGAAAAACGTGTAAATCCCTTTCATAGTAGTTTATGGATCACACTTATCAACTAATTTCACTTTAAGCAAACTAATTACTGAACAATTACCTTTAGCCTTTGTTCTTGCAGTTGTGTTAGATTCCCACTATTTCTGCAAGAACAAAGGCGAAAGGTAACAATAGTTCTTCAATAATTAGATTTTTAAGTTCTTGCCACTGGTAAAATACGTAAAATCATCTAAACAATCTAGTTGGCAAGTAGGCCTACAGGATCCTTGTACTACCGTTGGCTGGCTGTTAGTAATGGTATGAGTTTGAAGCCTGTTTGCTTCTCTAAGAGGTACCATGGGATATTTAGCAAATTTAAAGTTAGGTACAAACATCTAGGCACATAGTAAGTTTACGTCAAAAAATAATACGTATTCTCCCAAGCATGTAAAAGTATTTTTTCCTAAAACTATTAATAGGCTTTCAAAGTTTTCAATTTAAAATAAGGTTTAATTTACAATAATGTGTTTCAATTATATTCCTTCACAAAATAGTTGGTGTTTTCACTGTGGGCTTACACACTAAATCTGTTGACAATGTTGAAACTCCAGCCAAACAGAATGTTGATAAGGATGGTTGACCTGACTGATAGTGGCTAGCTAATGTTGAACAGACAGATAAAAATGTCTATATGGATATTGTAGCTTGTGTTTAGTCATTGTCTTCAAAGTTTGGCTATATTTGACTACGTTAGACCAAGGTATAACATTACTGATATAAATAAATATGTAACATTTTTAATCGCGTGCTGACATAACGTAATTGTGGATATTCATAGGGATGCACTGTGGATGCGATGCTCCCTGGTGTAGATTGTCGGCACTAGTAGCACTAGTACTACGACTTTCAGCAGTACTATCCTGATAATTAAACTAATTCGTTAATTACAAGGCAAAAATGTGATTTGGATTCCACTATAAACTGTAGGTCCCTTAGTTGCCATTGGCTGTATAGGCTATTAACAGCTGTGTCTAAGGAATATGTCGGCCTTAAGTCACTAACAAGACTACAAGATCGCGTCACTCATCCTTCATTCATATTTGGGTTAAAATACGCACATAGTTGTGTCCTGTCTTAAATAATTGATTGATTTAATAGCTAATTGTTGAGTTAAATTATTTTTTGGAGTAGTTTCTGTTGTCTTTGGCCAACTTAAAAATTCTTACTTTGATGCACCACTATTTGGGTCAGTCATATCCTTGCGACATTTTAAGACCATTAATGAATATCTCTTTTTTAAACACTATTGCAAATTTTAATTTTAGTTTTACTTTATACTTTAGAGATTCATCTTACTTTTTGGGTAGGTTTCCAAAGACTTTTTAAGCAAAATGTGTGTGAATGTGAATGCAAGCTGGTTACATATAGGGTCAGTTGTCAGCAACTCAACTGGAAATGAGGAATAACAACCCACTATCAATTGTTATCAATAATGTGATAGCCATGTCCGGGAAGGGAAACCAACCAACCAATACATCAACTGGCCTGGCAGAACGTTATTGTATACAAATGATTACAATTGTTGACTTACTTTGAAACTTACTTAATGAGATGTAGGTATAGAGGCCTTATCGAAATCAAAGCATTTGTGTAATTTGTATCTCTTATGTGACATTAATATTACAATACTATTTCTGTCAATTACAGTACCCTGAGCTGTAAGATCCTTACCTATTAACTTAAAATATTAATAATAATTTTTTTAAAGTATAAACACTTATAAGTAAACGTAGCGTATCTTTTATATCGTAGGAGTTAGCTAAATACGTTTTCACCACCTCAATTAACAAAAACATACTTTTCCCAAAATAAGCGGTACAATTGAAACTTGTTAATTAAACGGTGGGTGTGAAACAATTTCATACAGAATTTTCAATGGACCAAAAACGCTAAACCAATCTTGGCGCTTTTAGATCTGTTTATTTTTAAGATAAAACTCAACACTGTCAGTCTACTGTCTTTTAAAAATTATCTATTATATGATTTTCTAGGGGTGATTGACGATAATGAGCATTTTATTCATTCCCAAAAAATAAAATAAACCTGTCCAATTGTACAAAATTGTCAGATATTAGGCACCAGTGACCTGGTTTAGCAAGGGGGAGGCAGTCGCTGTATCAGCATTACAGTGAAAGTGTAACCCTTTGCCAATCCACCCCCTTCCCCTTCTCCTTCAGTCATTATTCACCCCCCTTCAGTCACTGACTTGCCCTACAGTGTCCTTGTTAATGTTTTAAACTCCCTGCCCCCCCCCCTCAACCTGCCTCCAGTTTCACTTTCATTCATGGTGGTGTTTTTAGCTTCCTTAACTTTGAATATGCAATGCAATCATATTGTCTTGCTTGGTAAACGCTGCCGATTAAATTTTGAAATTATGAGGAAAGTTTATGGGAAATCAATTTTTGTTTGATTAGGTACTACATTAAAGATTTACTATTTTGCTATATTTTTTTACATTACCTCGTTTACACCTTATTTTTAGAAGGTGTCAGTTTTATTTTGGAAAGTAAACAAAAGGGTATATTTAATGAGATTAACTTTAAGGGTTTCAGGAGATTTTACTTGAATTTTACATACTATTATTTGTAGTCAATAAAAATGGATGAGTTGTTTTTCCTAATTTGACCTCCAATTTCAATATGTAACTGAATTCAAAAATTGAAACAACAAATTTATTTAATATTTTTCTTGTTCCAATTTGATAAAATAACTATTTCCCAGTCAAACAGTTCCGTCAGTTTTTTTCTTTATAAAATATAGTTTAAAATGGTTTGTAGCTATATTTGGAAAATAGTTGGTATTTTGTTGAATGACATATTTTTAAGAGCAGAGAATATTTTAATACTTCATTTCATGAAATTATTTATTTTGGTACACTCTAGGATACGGTATCTCAACATTAAATATTCATGCAGATTGACAGTTAAATTAAGAATTGTTACATTGCAAGCTATCATCAAAGTAAATTCAGTAGGCCTAAACCTCACAAGACTGTTCGTTCAATTTAATCATGTTTTGCTATAGGTATTCACTTTTCAATACCACACAACTAAATAAAAATTGGAAAAATCTTCCTTTATAAAAGTGTTTTCTTTCAAATTGAGATAGCAGCCTTTTGAAGACTGAAAGATTGTGCAAGATGGAATTTTCAATACTTTTGGGATTTAGGCTTACAACCCCAAATCTAAGACAGGTGTCAGAAATGCCCTTCGAGCCTCAATGTTAGCAGCAGTGTAACTCATTCCATTGGAATTCTTGTTTTTCTTCTTCAAAATACTACCCAAAGCTTTGCCTTATTTTTACAAAACTGATAGTATAATCTTATGATAAATCGTTCAACAAATTTCATGATTTTTGGTTGTTAGTCTCAGATAATGACTGTACAGAACTTAAGGGGGTCCTAATTGAATTATCCATCTATTGGGTATTTTGTAAAGAGTTAACAAAAACAACATTAATTACTGAGTCTGATAATTTTCAGAACCTGCTGGTTTGCTTAATGAATGTTCCAATGTAAAAAATATGGCATCTAAGTGTAATCTGTTTTTTGTGAGTGTTAATTTATACAATAATGAGAAAAAATATAAAGGATCTTTCACAAAGCAAAAAAATCAGTGTTTAAATGTATATAAACCAAACAAGTCAATATTTTATCAGCTATTATTTTACCACTCACCAAATTTAGCATAACTTTGAATATTTTTGCTCGTACTATATTCCCATTTATCATTTTGGTTTGCTTCCATTGTGTTATGAATTCCATCCAAAGTTCTTATTTTGGATTTTTCCCAGATTTGTCTACATACCCTTGAAACGTGTATTTGATAATACCGTAACTTTAAACCCCCAAACTACCTTTGAATTGCGATCTAATTCATACAGGGACTTTATTTGGAACATGTTGCTTTTTAGTGGAAGTTTTTTATGCTAAGTTTAAATCAGTTGATGAGATCTGGTGTGGTGGATGTTGTCGGCAGTCAGATGATGGCTGTCTTTGTCCAGTGTTTTGAGAGTCAATGTTAGCTCAAGCGGAGGCCAGTCGGTGTCTCTGACGCAGAGTCTTGGCAGAATGTCACACTATTTTTGTCACTCGCATCTGCATCAAGTTCATACTAACTGTGTGTCCCTTTATTTGCAAACATTTAATTTGTCCAAGGATAAGATTCAATCAATTGGCGCTGAGTATTTAGTACTATGGTTTTTGAGTTTGTAATGCAGTTACAATTAAGTTGTATTTAAATATCTAAACCCTTAAGTCCTAACCAGTTTCATTGGTTTGATTGTGTCCAATTTTATCATTATTTCCCGCTTTTTATGAAGAAATAAATTCTTTTTGAACAATTTTTTTAAATTTCAGACATTGTAAGAAAAAGTAAGAATTAGCCTAGCTAAATGCTTGATTTGACGTTGACTCTAGTCTATGGAATACCCAGCCTGTCAACTTCCGAACACTATCCACATTTATATAGGTTGTTTAATTTGTTTTAAAAATACATTTCGCCTAAGGATCATTAGGCCTAATACAAGTTGTATCATTGTACACGTTTTATTAAATTGACAATAACAATCACAGCAATTAATTATCCTAATGTCATTTTGTAGTTTACAGAAAATATAATTGTATAATTATTGTTTTGATTTAACAGCTTCATCAGATTGTTTTATGAGTTAAAAGTGACTTTTTGCATTGTCATGAAGCAACACAACAAAACAATGGGCTGTAGGCCCCTTGTCTCACAATGATGAGACCCCCTTCCCTCTACATGGCTATTTGCATTTTTAAATCCCTCACATTCAGTTTCCTGTTAGAGAATAGTAAATGTGAAGAGTGTTTTTCGCAAAGAGAATTCATTTTTTAAAGAATTATCATACATTTTTAAATTAATTTAGTATATACAATTTTGTTGTGGCAGCCTTTATTGTTGCATATTTCAGAGAAAATTTTCTAGTTAATTGATCAATATCCCTTTGACAGTTACAAAAAAAGGCCTCATTTCCATTTTCCAGTCATAGAGCTTTTGCCTACTCCACAATAAGCATAGCAATCAAGCAAATTTTGTGTGATTGCTATTCAGTGTTTTTATTTTTATCCTTTGAGTCCCTAAAGAATACCATTAATAAACGATGGCCTGTGAAAAATATTATTAACATATTAGCTACCAACTATACTCATCCCTCAGTTACAAAGGATTGTCAGTCGGTAGGGAACGTGTTAATAGACATTTCACTTTCAGTACTTAACTTCAGTTACATTTATAACAAACTATCTATGTAAGCATAATTCAACAAAACTGTTGACACACATACCTGAAATGTATTTCAACATAAAAATCAACCAGATCATACTTGTACTGCGGGTACACCAGTTTTATTGTTGTGGGCCAATAGGCTTGAGAGGTTGGCAACCCTGTTAGACACACTTAGGGTAGATCAAGGGTTTAAACTCTGTCTAGGCAAGTCAGTGTGTAACCTATGAGTTCACCAGTCTAGCTGGCAGAGCTTGTTGGGAAAGGCCCACCTAAAATAAACTGTGGAAGGCTCAAGTAGAATTTGGCAGGAGGGGTGAATTCTTTGAGTTGCACCGCAAATCTACCATTTTGCTACCTTAACCATAGTGATTCTTACTAGTACTTTCTTACTTACTTACTGCTGTGGCCACTAGTACCCTAAATGACACTTGGCCTCCCGAACACACTGTCTCCATACATCTCTTCATCTTACCCTTCTTCCCAGTTTTCTTATGTCCTTTTCTACTTGGTCCCAACATCTCAGTTTCGGTCTACCAAGGCGTCTTATTCCTTCTGGGTTGTTCACCAGTACTTTCTTTGGTAAAGAGTTGTTCTTTGCCCATCTCATACTTCTACCCCATACCTCAGTGACAATGTCCTGATCTTTAAATCATTCTCTCAATTCACAAATTATGCTTTCATCAGGTTAATGTAGGCATAATTAAATCAATAAAAGCCAGGAGCTCAAAGGGTTAATGGGATGTGTTGGTTTCAATTATGTGAAATATTAATCTATAATATTTTTTATCTGAATAAAAATTGCCAAAAGGCTAGTGTAAATTCACACTCACAGTTTATTAAGGTTGTTCCACGTTATATAAACGTCATCATTAATATAATTTATAGATGTCATGATAATGCAATTGCTTTGATGAAAATTTGATTATAAATACAAGAAACTATAAAATACTGAACTTGTAAATAAACTTAACGTCAAAGTAAACTATCGGAGGAGCACAGTGATGGATTGGAGGTAGTTAACAGTGTAGTGTCGTGTGAAGTGTGCGCGATGGAGAATACTTTAGTGTTCAAGAACGGTGGAGTGTTTGGGCCGTCAATGCCCACCATCAACTGCCAAACTTGCCGGGCTCGACGGCTGAAAAGACTGATGACGGCGTCGTTCCCGCAACATCATTCTGACACCTGGTTCGTACTGAGACTATGTCTTAAAGTTAAATAACTCATTAATCATCATGCTTTTTGGTTAAAGTATTATTTACATTTGTTTTCTGCAAATTAAGTCTCCAGTCTAAGGATCATAACATCAAAAATGGATAAACGTTTGAAAATTTAGAGGTTTTGCTTACCATGTGTAGCTAAGATAGGTGGTAAATGGTAGAAGATTTAAGTTCAATTTTTGTGTAGCTTAATTTACTTTTTATTGTAGAGCTAATCAATGTTGATAGTACAGCGAGAATTAAATATTTTTCTTCTAATTTGCAAAAAGAAAATACAGTAGAACCTCGATAGTTCGATACTAGTGGACTTAAGGGATGTTGAACTATCGAAATGTCGAACTATAGGGAGTAAATGTAGTTTAATATACAGGAAGAAAGAACAATATAGAAATCACCCAAATTTATTAAATACTTAAAAGCTTAACAATTTCCCTGTTCATTAGTTAAGTCTCAAGTCAACAATAAATTACAAATTAATGTTCAAGTCAGCGTACACCACAGTAGTAACCATTAAATATCACTTGACAAAATAGCTCAGCCCGTGTCGAACAACAGGAAGTGTCGAACTATTGAGAGTCGAACTATCGAAGGTTTACTGTATTATATTTTTCTTTAAATGAATATGAACCGCCATTTATAAAACCAACACATAAAATCCAAGACCCCCAATAGTCTAACCTAACACACTTTGTGTAAAATAAAAATTGGTAATTTGAAAGTTATACTAACAAATATCTTATTAATCTTGTCTATAAAATCAAATTTTGTTGTAAAATTTTTACAGAATTAACAATACAGTGTTGAAAACCAACCTAGACTGAGAGATTCATTAATAACATAAAGTATACATACAGAACAAGTAAATAATTAAGATGTGTACTTTGTATAAAGAAGAGACAAGAAGTTTACATAAAAAATCATTAGTACATTAAATCACACTTTAGCTTTTGTATTTAATCACCAATCAAATAAAGACATTTATACAATTACATTGATTATTCCCCTCATATAAGCAGAAAGTTGCTTTTGTTCCTTTGTTTCAATTTTTATAATTATAATTGTTGGGCAAAATCTGTATTTATCCCACATTTTTATTAGTAACAAACAACAAATAAGAACATGTAAACATATAAGATTGAATGATGTATGTGTGGAAAATGTGAACCAGAGAGAAACAGTCGTGAATAGGGAATCACCAATACGTCATTAAGCTGTGTAGTTGACAGGGAAGTCATCTAGTCATCAACCAAGTTGTTTTGAAAACTCTGATTCTCTCTTGATTTCAATACACCAACTGTACCTAATCTTCCATTAAATGTATTTTATCCCTGTATTACAATGTATCATGTATTGTATTATTGTCATCTACAGTGATGAAAGTGTTGGATCTTAATCAAAAATATGCTTGATTAACCATGGATGCACAATGTTGAACAAATGATCACTGAGCAAGTTTAGCCATTTACAAACAATTTATTACCAGATTTGTTATCCCCCTTGTGCATTAACATAGCATAACCATCCGGAAGATTTTAATTTGATTTAGATAAACTAAGGCCCCTTCAAGTACCCGTAATGTGTAGCTTCGGTATCGGTACATAAGATATTTAACAAGGTATGATTGACATTTGCACTGACAAAACAGGTTAAGGCATGTGTCCCAAGAGTTGAATGTAAACTCATATTCAACTAAGAGAGAAGAATCAATCACCACTAGCAGGAACTTTTGCAACAAGCTGTGCTAGACTTGTGTTAAATGTCATAATCACTTTATCACATAATCACTTTATCATAACCTCTTTGGTTTAAAACACTTGTTAGCAAATTTAGGTAGGTATTCATTCAAGCAACCATTCCCTCTGATAATTGTTGTTATATAGTTTCCATTTTGTTTCAGTGAGCTCAAAAAATTATCGGAAGAGAGTCTCACAAGACAACCGGAAGAAGTGTTTGATATTATCTGTAAATTAGGAGAAGGGTAAGTGAAATTATTTTCTGTATCTTAAATCATATTTAATTTAAAATGTGTATCTAACTGTATCAATGAAAAAATCAAATATTTTTTATTTTGAACCATAAAACAACAAATCAAAATATGTAAAAGAGAAAAACAATTTGAGTTCAAAAATTTTTAAATTTAAGTTTCATGTTATAGTTGTGGCTATTGATACTCTACTGTTAACTAAATGTTCTATTCTTATATGAAAGCTATGACTGTTTTAGATTTTTAAAAGAAAAATATTCACTACGCCAATGACACAGTGTGCTGCTTTCAAATACCATAATATTTCTTTTAAACACTCTTAGTTTAACAATGCTATATCATAGTAAAATGGTAGGCCTAACTCTTAACTATCATACTAACATGAAAAAATAAGTAGAATTTAAATCTAACAAACTTCCGAAAATTATTCAACACTTTGCTTTTTGAGGTAAAGAAAACAAAACTGGCTTAAGCTTATTTTTACAAAATATGGGATGTCTATCTTAGTGTCCAGAGTCAATAAATTGTAACAGAGGTTCACCCTAAGAGTATTATTTTGATTCTATGTCAAACTGTGAGAAGTAAAATAACTTTTGGGACAAGTTCAGAATGACACTTTTGAATTTTGATCACTATGTAATAATGCCTCTTTCTGTTTGCAGTTAGATTGTTCAACAATGAAAACAGCTGATTTAAATTATAAACATTAAATTGTAAGGAAGCACTATTGTGTGTAGTAGGGGGACTGATTTAAAGCAAGGGAAAATCAGCTGATAGTTTTTCTCTTGCTCTAAATTTCAGCTTGATAAACCAATTATTTTCTTTGTTATCAGCTGTCATTGAAAATAGCTAATATCTGTCCGGGTTATGAAAATACCTTATTTATCTGCACTTTCAAATTGTTAACTTGGTGTAAACAATTATTACTTTGTACTTAGATGTATGAAAAAGTAAACCTTGAAACACACCAATACAATACATTAAAAATACACCAAGTCAACAGTTCAAACACATAAGACTGTGACACTTACATTATTGACATTGAGCATCAAAATGCAACTTTGGGTCTAAAATTAATCCATACAGTTTATTGAACTGTTGTGTGCAGATCATATGGCAGTGTGTACAAAGCCCTGCACAAGGAGTCGGGCCAGGTGTTGGCCATCAAACAGGTGCCTGTGGACACTGACCTGCAGGAGATTATAAAGGAGATCTCCATCATGCAGCAGTGTGACAGTCCATATGTTGTCAAGTACTATGGCTCCTACTTCAAAAACACTGATCTCTGGGTGAGTTAGTGAAATTGTTGTATGTAAAAGATATAAGGAACATGTCGGCCTTAGTCAGTAACAATTCTACAAGATCTTGCACTCATCTCATACTTGGCACACCTACCTTTGTATGGTCGCCATTCCAGTTAAAAGTATTCAAGTATGCTTTTGTCCATGTATGGATATTGTTGTTTGTGAGGAGTTATCCAATTCAAGGAAGGTTCCCTCTTTAGTACAGAATATACAAATACATATACTTTTTGTTTTTCTTTCTGAACAGATGGACACAGATTAGATGGGCTCTGAATTTCCAGGTCTTGTCATTATCACGTAACTAAATTCCAATGGTGATTTACAGGATTTGAACTTAGGACAGATGAACTCTTACCTTAGTAGTGTGGTGATAAGTTTTAGAGGCATGAATGATTTTATTAGGGTCTAAGGTTAAAATTGTGTACCGGTACTGTAGTTAGTGGATTTTTTAAATGTATTTGTTATGATGTCTGATAAACACTTTAATGGTAGCCATATTACTCAATTGAGACGGGGAGAAACTTGCCGTACTTATGAGTGAAGGACAAGAGTAGAATCGAGTTAAATGCCTTGAGTAGCTTTGTTCATGGCTAATATCACATGTTTTCTAAGCCTAGACGATCATCTAATACTTGAATACTTTAAATTGAAATGTCGACCATAAGGTATTTTAAGCCAAGTATGAATGGAGATGAGTGTAGATCTTGCAAACTTGTTACTGACTAAGGCCGACATGTTCCTTAGACAGGACTGTTAATAATTAGCCCATACAACCAATGGCAGCTAAGGAACCTACAGTTTATAGTGGAATCCGAACCACATTTTTGCCTTGTAATTTACGATTTGGTCTAATAATCAGGATAGTACTGCGGATATTACTCACCAGTACCTTAATCCACACCAGGGAATATGGCATTCACAGTGCATGCCTTATATATCCACAATACTTGACTTCCAAGTAGCTCCATCCATTTATTAAAGCCCAATGGTATTAAGAGTCATTGGATCCAGTTTAAAGCCATCAAACACTTTGTGGTTCTTCTCAAGGTTTTTAACCTTCAACCTTTTGATCGTTAAGTTAAGACAATTCCTGTAACCACCCAGCTACCCAGGTACATTGGTAATTTTCAATGAAATAAACCGATTTAAGGCGCCATATTAAATTGAGCGTCTTCAGATCTAAATATTTTACTCAATGACTCTAGGTCATATCTACTCTATGTTAACTTATGACATTCCAGATCGTGATGGAGTACTGTGGTGCGGGCTCAGTGTCAGACATCATGAGACTTCGGAAGAAGACACTGTCAGAGGAGGAGATTGCAACGATACTCTGCGACACGCTCAAGGGTTTGGAGTATCTACACCTGAGGAGAAAGATACATCGCGACATCAAGGCGGGCAACATTCTGCTCAACACGGAGGGCCACGCTAAACTGGCTGACTTTGGTGTGGCAGGACAATTAACGGTAAATCACCCGACTGTAATGTTGTATTGTAATGTTTAGTGTAGTCTCGTGCTAAAGTTTTGTGTGACCATCAACAGTTCTCATGCGGCAATAGTTATAATGTTTCCCTATTACAGTTCTTCCAGATTTTTAATGTAGCAAAAAAAAAAATAGTGTTTTTTCTAGTAATTTATATATTATCATGTTTACTTACTCCCCTATACATAGAATATGGATAAACTATTGTTTATATTTTTTTTTAAATTTTTGATTTTTTCATTAAAACTCCAAAAACTGTAACGCCCTAAACAATAGTTATTGAAATTTAGCATGTTACATTCCTCTTAACTCTAAACGAAATGTTGTAACCCTAAATGCTGTAAAAATTACGGTTCAAAAGTTATAACTTCTTTTGCAATTTTTCCAATAAAAAAAATATTTGCTCCCACACATGATAAGAGTTGTTGACAAGCTAATAAGAGAGTGTCAGATTTATTAAAATGTTTAAATGTGCACAAAATAGTTCAAGTAGCTTTTAGTTATTCAGAAAAACAGTAAAAACACCAAACTATAAATAAATAAGAATAAATTTTACGTTGTTAATTTTGTATAATCAAAGCTGAAAACAGTTTTTAGCATAACCAATCATGTATCCTGGTTGTTCAGTTATCCCATTGATATATTATTTTTGAAAAAAACACAAGCCAAATGTAGCACTGTGTCACAATTATTTGCTTCGTTTATTAAATATGATTGTTTGCAGGACACGATGGCCAAACGTAACACTGTGATAGGAACTCCGTTCTGGATGGCGCCAGAAGTTATCCAGGAGATCGGCTACGATTGTGTGGCAGATATGTGGAGCTTAGGTTTGTAGTTCTGTTTTGTAGCCACAAAGATATTATACAATTAGTCAACAAAAGTTGTTAGAAACAATACTATTATAAGTTGGCTACTGTAATGACATTGATTGTAATTTTTTTAGTTTTGGTTCAGCAAAAAAACTGTCTGTTCATTGCTGGCTTTACCAGGTATAAAATCAAAAGGATTATGGCCTGGTAAACTGGTTGAATTAACCGTACAGCTAGAAGTCTTTAAGTTAACATTTTAAGTCCCTTTTTTTAAGAGGGCCAGGCTTACAAGTGACCATGGGATTGCAACGCAGCTGGAACAGCTTATTGTGCACCCTTATTCACAGGTCCTCATTCTCCGTCAAATCCCAGGTCCTTGGTGAACCATGAGGTAACCTGTTCTTCCCTTTGATCTCCAGTCGATAGGCCAAGGGATCTCATACGTAGACCTTGTAGGGCTGGGCACATAAATATCACGTGGAAGGCTGTCTCCTCCTCCTCTCCACGTTTCCTTCAATGTTTATCAATTGTTTCATTATAGTTTTTTTGTAGGAAATAAAGTTAATTTCTTTGTCTATTATTCTGTTCAAATGGTAAAACTTAACATAAAAAATCTATTAATCTAATTAAGGCCATTTGAACACCTGTACCATATCAAGGATTTACTAAGAGACACCTTCGTTATGTGTTTCTACTGTGGCTTGGAAATAATTTATCTCACTCTCGTTTACAATAATTTTGTATTCTGTGTCTAGCTTCACTAGTTTTATTTCATGGTTGTTTTCTGTGTACAACCCGTTTGTAACCTTCTACATTCTACTTATAGGGATCACAGCGCTAGAAATGGCGGAAGGCAAACCACCCTACGGAGACATTCACCCTATGAGAGCCATCTTCATGATCCCCACCAAACCACCTCCATCGTTCCGAGAGCCCGATCAGTGGTCGCCAGAGTTTATAGACTTTGTCAGCCGATGTCTTGTCAAAAATCCCGAGGAAAGAGCGACTGCCAGTGAAATGCTGCATCACGAGTTTATAGGTTGGTTTGCAACTGTTGATTATAACTAGGTTGTAAGTCATAGAACAATGAGGGAGCAAGCTGGTCTAGTGGTTGGAGCGCAGGACTCCGGTTCCTGGGGTCCCGGGTTCAAACCCCGCCAAATCACCAATGGATTTTATCTAAGTGATATTGCCGTAACCCCTACTGAAGTAATGTGAAAAACAATTCCAGGCTCGTGCCTAGCGGCCTAGGACAAAAAAAAAGACAGAACAATACTGTTTGTCAATTTGCAAGCTATTGTATTACTGACTGTGCTGGTTGAAAGTTTGGATAGCTCTAACAGAACTGTTTACAATTATCGAGTCAGTAGACAAGTCAATAATTAATAAATGGAAATGCCTTTAATGCTCTGAAAGAAAGTAATGAATTACCGAATTTCTGTAATGACTGTAACCACCAGATGTTGAAGTTTTGCGGAAGTATACTTAATGCATGCTCTTCTGAAACTGTCAATGCTGTAACTCTTTTACCAAACAGTGCAATTATCAAGTACTGATACAATAAGTTTACTCAACTGCATCGCCTCGATGGTTCAGTTTAACCAATGCCAAAACAGCCATACTCTTCTTACTCTATGTTCCTTGTTGCAGGAGCTGCCAAACAACCAACGATACTGAGCCAGATGATAGCCGAGGCTCGGGAGATCAGAGAGAACCAGAGCTGTCGGAACAACTCTACAAACGCGGCTGTGTCCAAACAGAACCACATGGAGTCGGTATGTTACTGTTCAACAACATTGTTAGCATTTGCCTGCTTAAAGCATCTAGAGAAAACTTTATATGGCCAAGAGAAGTTTGGGTGTACCAAATCCTAAGTAAGAAGATAATTGTTTGTTAGGCTAGGTTTAACCATTGACTTGAGATACTTAAGTAAATGTCTAGTCATTTAGATCATCTCTTCCAATAATTTTTACATTGTCAATTGCGGTATTTTTTTAATGTATCTGAAATCGCCATTCCTAATGAGGGTTTATTGTATTTTAAATATAAATCTTGATTACGTTTTTAAAACCTGTCATAGTTATATACAACTATTATTTTATGGTATTTTACAGGTTTATTTAACTAATATGTTTTATAAAAATATGTTATACTATCTGCATAGTAAATAGTAACAAATTTGTGTTTGTGGTGGCTAGGATGAGGACGAGGTGCACAACAAGACAATGGTAAACTACAGTGAAGTGGACAGTGGCACGTTGGTACCTGACAGAACACTGGTCAGCTCTCAGCTGGCCGAGGAGTTGGGCACTATGGTGATCAACAGCGACCCTGAGGACGAGTCTACCATGAAAAGTAAGCAAACATGTTAGATAAGTGAAACTCAGGGGTCCAACAGTGATTGATTTGTTTGTCACACTGAAGGAAAGCTGTTCAAAATATTCACCAGAGGCTTTTTTATATCCTTCCTTCACATGGATGCTAGGCTCCAGCCAAAAACCACTTAACACATTACTCCTGGCTACTAGAGGGCCATGGCATTATTATACAACAAAAGACATTGGTGGAGGATTTAAACCTATGGCCTCAGAGACCGAAGCCTTACGTTCTACCACTAAACCAGCTTGTTTCCAGATGCTTTTGGGGCAAAAGTAGTACTTTTCATCCCTAAGGCAAAAATGAATCAGCTGTACACTGTAAAATTTTTTTACCTTAAAATTTTGCTTGATTAATAAACAATGAACAGTAGTATATTACGTTACTAGCCCAGAAAATATGTGATTAACAGACGAGTGTGGTTCCCGCGAGAGACGAAGTTGAGTGCGGAATTATCAAAGGAGTCCAGTAAATACGTTTTGGACGAGTTAAGTACGATATGTTTCACCATTTCTACCATAACAATAGAAAACTGTCGAAATCTGTAATAAGTTCCTACCAATTTAATGACTTGAGAATTTAAATTAGAGTTTAATGACCCTAAAGTTCCCCTATGTTATTTGTCTACTTCCCAGACCTATTGTAGTTTTTCTTCCTGTTTCCTCTCTATTTACGAGTAATTACGAAATTATAAAATTTTTATCTCTTTCAGGGCATGACACGGGACCAGGGGAATCTGGGAAAAAATACAGACCACTCTTTCTAGATCATTTTGACAAGAAGGAAGCTGAGAGTATAAAAGTGAGTGATTTGCTATTCTTTTTTTACATTTTTTTCTATAACTGTAAATGTGCACGTGTTTTTATAGAAAGCTTGCAAGATTAAGAGTTTTTCACTAATGGCATTATTTGTAGAAGAGGGCAATTAAATACATAAATTTAACTTCTGTTCCGGTTATTCCCTGGTCTGGGCGTCGACTAGGCCTATTTATCTAAGACTTCACAATTCCTCTTTGTCCATTATTTGTTATTTTCTTACTCTTTTCTCATTGTCCCACAGTCAACCTCTCTTTATCATATCTCATCCATCTCTGTCCAATCCCTTTTCTTAGAAATTCCCTTGCACTCAAGCTATTCTCAATCATTAGCTAATTCCATCCCACATTGTTATACTCAGAAGAATAGATTAAAATATCTTTCCTTCTGCTTGTATTCCGCTCTATTCCCTTTGAGAAATCACCAAACTTTTGCCCCACGAGTAAATTTAATTATAACACTAAATATAGTTCACACAAATAATTGTATTTTTTTTATTATTATTTTAGAATTTGTTTCCTTTTGCAGGGCAATGGACAGGCTCCTGTAACCAATATGGCCAACCACCACACCACGATTACTCCGGACCTCAACTCCAATGTACAGAACACCCAGCAGAACAACCAGGTTTGTTTTGAAATCTGCATTGGTAATTTTAACAGTTTTAGGTTGTAATTTAGTGGTGTTCCATAGTAGTTAGGGTTGGTAATCTGTGTCTTGGTCTGTGTCTGTGTGTTGGATTTAGTTAGGTTACTAAAATATTTAGAGCCTATTTATATTTAGAATAGATACATAATGGTGGTAACAAAAAATAACACTGATATCTCAGATCGTTTGTACTAATATAATATTTTTTAGACGTTAGATTAATAAAGAATTGATTTTTCTTCAACCTACTTCATAAAAGTCTTGTTTATGACTAAATTTCAGTAGTGTTTTGTGACCTTATATTGTGTATTTTCTTAGTGATGTAGCTGAATGCTATCCCTTAAAAGATGTGTTTTTACATTTTTTAGATTGTTTTATGGTGTCAGTTATACTAATGTAGTTTGATTCTGATTCAGCAGAACCACGAGGGTGTGGGGGTTGGTGTTGAAGAGAGACAGAGAGTGTTGGTAGCCATCGGAGGCGGCAACAGCATCATGGTTCCAACACAAGAGAACCAACCTAAGTTCCATTCAGCGTTTGTAGACGGAGATTTTGAATTTGTAAGTGTAAAGGAGTTGATTCAGTACTCTCCCGATTATACAAGCCCTCAGGTTATCCAAAGTTGTTTTTGGCCTAAATATATTTTGTTTTCAGTAGGAAAACAATAACTACTTTACTATAGAATGTTTTCTATTTAAAGAAATTCAAAGATATCAATTAATTTGCGATTTATCGAGACAAATACAGTACTTGGAATAACCATTACGTTTTATTTTAACATTATAATGAACCGCAATAACCATAAAAATTAAAATCTCACGGAACTAGATTGGCCGGCTACGGATGGCAAACTGGACTGGGCGAGCCGTCTCCAGATCATAAGCAATAGCATGTCGGTCTTTTTCATTACGATTTTTTGATGTAGACATGATTGTGTCAAGTTATAGATCAGGTCAAACTTAAACAAAATATAGGCTAATTTTATGCTTTTAAAACTAGGAAGATCCACCTTAGTTTTAAATTATTAATTTTTTTTACTTTAAAAACTGCTGAGTTATCTGACTGTAATTCTTTTAAATCTTAATTTAACGATGAATTAGTTTCTGTCATAACGAGTTAAATCAGCTCTATTGTTATTTTCAATGAATCACATATGTTGATTCTATGTATAACCTGTTCACAGTTAAAGTTCCTGAGCTATGACGAACTGCAGCAAAGAATGACAAGTTTAGACTCAGAGATGGAGAGAGAAATCGATGAGTTGCGAAGACGTTACCAGACCAAACGGCAACCTATCCTGGATGCTATGGACCAAAAACGAAAACGGCAACAGAACTTCTGAATATTAGAATATAGAGAAACTTGCTCTGATTTTCATAAAAATAGGATAAAGGAATCTTTGGGTCGTAAGTTTGAGAATAACATTTGTGGCGATTCCACTGTTTTCTCAAGGTTTTGCTTTGCAGACGTGTCGTTAAAAACCATTTGCCATTCAGTATGGTTAGTCTTGGAAGGCAATCATTTCCACGGCTTGTTAAGTCCAGCATAAGTTAAAATAAAATAGAACTAAAGTTAACACAGAGAAATGAGTGGTTCGAAAGATTAGACATGTATGTAATTTACTAAGATTTTGGTTTAGACTGGCTTTCTTAAAAGTTAAATTATTTAGGTTACCTAATTCAGGACCATATATTTATTCCTCATTTAAATTAGGCATGTTTTATTTTATTTTTTGATTAAAATTAGTTGTAATAACCTCAGAACTGCAACATCGACTAATATGAGTTTTAAAGAACCTGTTAGCTGGTATTGGTGTTGGAACTACTGACGGATATTAGTCCCCATACAGTATTAGTCAAATGATTATTTAAAGTTTTTTTTTTTAAAGAGCACTTGGCTTAGGAATAATGTGTTAAGAACCAATGGATACTCAGCTAACTTGCATAACTTAGCAAACAATGTGTTCCAGGCCACAGAAAGCACACAAAAGTTTACAATGCAAGTTAGTTGTGGATCGATACTGCACTCAAAACATAATACTGAAAATACAATTTCAATCCACAACTTTGAAATTTATAAGTTTTGTGTACTGCTTAGTATTATTGCTTCCTTACTTTAAACGTATGGAATGATAATGAGTGTGTGCCAGTCTTCCCGTTTTAAATTTTACCTCTGTAACTTGTCTTAAAGTTACCAAGTTTACCATAGTGTTCACTGAACACTTGACTGTTCATGTTGCCATCAGTTTTTCAGTTGAATTCATTCTATCTGCCTACATTACCTATAACAAGTTTTTACAGACTGCAAATCAAAGTATCAACACATTTTCCAGAATTATTTGTTTATTTTGTTTACTGTTACTCAACTTAAATCTACCATCAACATGAATAAGCATTTTTTAAGTAGGGTAAAAGTATGGTAATTATCATAAACAAGTGTTCAACTTGTACTGTGTTGGAAAGACCCGTTGATTTGTTTCTCCCTAGGGAGTAAAAATTTGCTGTTTTAACTCTGATTCCAAGCAATGGCATGTGTTGATTGTTTTAATCGGTTGTAGCTTAAAGTTGCATTCTTGTCAACAGTTCGACAAATTGATAGTATAAGGTATACTAACACAATCGTAATTGACAAAAATGATTGAAACACTTTCTAAACAGCTGATTATTTGCGTTAGCAAAATTGAAAAGAAATTAATAGTTGTTTTGAGACGTTATCTTTACATAAAACATATTTAATTTTGTGAATTAGTTTGCTTAAATAATGGTGTAATATTACAAAAAAATATAGTTCATCACACAGGCATAAAGTGTCTTCTCAGCCCTCGCTCATTTTCCAACCTACGCCGTAAAACTTGAGCTCGGGTCAAAAAGAGTCACTTTACACTCTATTGATGAAATATACAATTAAGTAGTCTCTACAACTGTTATTAACCCTCCCAGTGTTACTTGACGAAAATTCGACAAGCAGCACACATTGTGTAGTGTTACTTGTCGATTTTTCGACACGCAGACATCGTTTACGGCGAAGGCTCTATGACTGACTGAATCGGATTGAACTGGATCGAGTTAGGTATCGTTCTTTCCGTAATATTCTAAGCTTTCTCCAGAGGTCTGTCTCAGCGCTGTACGTTCTCTGAGCCGATCGTAATTGTAGCAGACAGCTGACGTGCGTGTATTTGTAAACAGCTAGGTTACTCGGACCGATGACTGATGTGTTTTATTACGTTTATCATTGTTTTAGTGTTAAAAATCAAAAGTAGTGATATACGTGTTGCATTATAAGAAGATTTAAGTGGTTTTGAAGTGCTGGTTGATGATCCTGAAGAAGTAGGTAGTGATATTGATGTAAATCAGCCAGATTCCTAGCTATGGTTAGGCTATGCATTCTTAGCTAAACGCTATGTACTGAAATCTGTTTTTTGCCCGTAACTTATTTATTTGCAAATCTACTTCCTTATATTATTATATATTTGTAATCCTCATAAAATTTAGAACAAAGTGGCTATTTTCAAATATTTATAGGCCTATAATTTATACAATTTCATTGAGCGCGAACTTATTTTTTTTTGAAAATTTTCGAAATTATATTTTTTTTTACCTAAACATTTTTTTTTTTTAATGTTCCTTATGTTTTATATATAATATTGAAGCCCATGATTTTCCAAACAAAATGGTATATAGAACATTAGAATTAACATTGTTTTAAGCTTCTCAGATCCGTTTTAATAAAACCTTGCAAATGCGCCAAAAATAGGTGGACATTAAGGCCTAAACTATGGACACTTGGAGGGTTAAGAATGATTAGAAATAGTACTCATACAGTTAGTAAGTATAACATGAACGTATACATTTAGTAAATTTACAATCTTTCCCCATTGCTAAAACTGAATACAATTTGACAAATGACAATATATTGTTTGTAATTTTTAACTTGCATGATTAAATGTGCTGCATGGGTAGATTTTTCACCAAAGGCTAAAAATAAATTTTATACAACATATTAGTGCACAGAATAAATACATAACAGGTTGCATCTTTAGAGGCATTATAACAATATAAGGAATGGAGTAATGTAGTAAATTCTCCAGTATCATTAATAATCCATGGATTTGTCGTACAATTTTTGTGAGACGGACATTTGATTATAATCAAAACCTTTAAATAAGAGTATTTCCTTACATATTTCACTTCTGAGAAAACGTAATAGTGTATTGTTAGTTCTACATAATGCATAATCTTACTTCCAGACAATACTTTTTACAAATTAGAGTAAAGCATTCAGTATGTTGTTTTGTCAAAATGTGTGTGTATTAGAACTAGTTACTGCCTACAAGAATGTATTACCTCGATGAATTTACCATGATAGTTAGGTGTGATTTTAGATAGAGAGAGCTATGACACGTTGTAAGCTTAGCAGAATTTCCACCGTAACTCTTTGCCTTTGTGAGAGAAAGAATATTTTTTAATCAGCAGATAAATTTTATAGCACAGTTCAAAATCCCTATTTTTTTAGATCAATGTTGGTAAAATTAAAATTGATGTTAACATTTATGGCTTGTATGGACTTTTAGGATAGCATAAATAAAACTGTTAGAGTGCTAGATAAGCAATCAATAGTTACAACATTGTTTAGGATATCTTCTTAAATGGTGGGAGTTGGTGGTTTTCTATGATTTTATTTCCTTGCCAACTCAATTTGTTTGCCATTAATCCACACTAAAAATAAAATCTCGATATTTTTGTTCTCTCTAGATGTTACACTTGATCGAATAGACCGATATGATTTCAGTATAATATACAGGTTAAGATAACTTTACCTGTGACAATCAAGAATTTTTAATTTAAATTTATAGTCAGGGAAATTGTGTTGTTACCATGTTATTCCCACCATTAACAAGCTCTTGTTTATTCTTTGCTGTAATTATCATGTAATTCTTGAGCTAATAAGTAGTTTATCATTGAGATAAGTATATGTTTTATAACAGTATGCTATGTGAAATTAAGAATATTTCCACATTTTTTTTTAAATTGAGTCTGATACTTGGATATTATGATTTGTGGTTCTAATCGCCATTATTTATGTATTGTTTCTCGCTTCTCTTTGGCCCCTTACACCTGAGACCCAAAGCAGCAACTTTTCTACGTAGCTCAGGTATTTTGCTCTGGTGCCCTTCGGAACATGGTTGCATCTTGTGTACATAGTTCCACATGTACAGTGTACATATATATTTAGTATAATCATAATATGATAAGACTGGGTAACTGATGCTAGGTTTATTTTTTACTACCACGAGACAGTGTAATTGTTGTTGGTCGAGTTACAAGTGAGAACTGTTTGTAAACTTAGTAGAATATCGCCCGATGTTGTTGCCATATTTTGCACCGAGAATCAAATTTTGATTGATGTAAAATTTATTTGATTTGTGATATAATATTTTGTATCTAATTAGCTATAAATTTTGTATTATATAGTTTTTATTTAACAATTTTGTAGAATCTGAATGTTTTGCATTTTCTGTTATTTATTTTAACTAGATGGATTAGACGTCTTAATTTGTTGGATTTTAATCGTCTTATTACTGTTTAAAGTAAAATTTCCTTTTTATTGTTGCTGTTTATTAATTTTGTAATAATAAATTGATCACCACGAGAAATTGATTTTATTACCTTACCTTTGATGATTTAAGTTGTTAAGTTAAGCTAACAGTTATTTAAGTTTCCACCGTGTGACACAAATACTCCCCCCACAGCAAACCTGCAGACTAAGCAGATTTCCATTGTCTTAATTTGTAATTAAATCCATTTAAATAAAACATTAGGTTTCACGAGTACCTAGGTTTGCTGCTACAAGGAAACTAATAAAGTGTGTTTTTTAATAAAATAGGTAGTAATAGCTTAGTATTAAATAAATCAATTTGCCAAGTTTGATCAAAATATATCCATAAACAAATGAACTACAACATTTTACAATATTCTCCATAAGGATAACATGGGAATTTTAAAATAAACATTTTTTTGAATTTTCTCCGTTACCAATAACCGTACAAAAACACTTTGATAGACTAAATTATTTGTTTAAGCTCTTAAAAAGGTTTAGAGAGAAATTGGAAAATTTTATGTTTAGAGGGTCAAAAATGAGAAAACCAATTTTTACCCTAAAACCCCGTTTCCCATGGTCCGATCATGCTGGTTTGCAAACTCATTAAAGTTTATCCCGCCTTACACCTTTAAACCAAATTTCGTCAAAATCGGACAAAAATTACCCAAGTTATTGCGTTCACGGACACATAATATATACAGAGTGTCCCGGAACTCTCTACCAAAATTTTAGAGCATTATTCCTGAGTAAAAACATAAATACCATATTTAAACTGTCCGGAAATCCTTCTTTACTCACAGAGCCGCCATTTTGTTTTTTCCACTTGTTAATTTTTTTCTAAAACATACAAAATGGAAACTTTGCACAAACATCAATGACAACTAGAGTAGACAAAGCTACCAAAAAATTATGAAGATTTTTCAAATTCATAAAAAAAATGGCGGCCATCTAAAATTTTGTTTCTTAAATAACTCAAAAACCGTTGATTTTAAGGCAATTTTTTACAAATCGATTGAAACCTTATCCTTAAGTTTCCATATCTCAGTTAATACTCGCCCAATCTTACAAAATAACGTGCCAATCGATTTGGAATTATATTGCCTTAAAAAAGTTATTTTAGAAAATTTTTTGTAAAATCAACGATTTTTGAGTTATTTAAGAAACAAAATTTTAAAAAACCGCACTTTTGTTTTATGAATTTGAAAAATCTTGATAATGTTTTGGTAGCTTTGTCTAGTTGTCATAAATGTTTGTTCAAAGTTTCCATTTTGTATGTTTATCCATTCTTTAGAAAGAAAGCATATTATTAATTAAGTGCAGTACCCTGAAATATTTTTTATTTTAAAATAAAATTTAATAAAATCATTTCAGGGTACTGAGTTAGCATGCTTTCTTTGATATTTATAATAGTAACCCTTTATTCAAACAGTCGCTTGTATATCTAATATATAAAATTCTCGTGTCACAGTGTTTGTCTGCAAACTCCTCCAGGACGACTTCACCGATCGTTATGAAATTTGGTGTGTAAATTCTGTAGGTATGCGAATCGGACGTAAACTATTTCCCGTTTCGAAATTCTTAAAAGAGCTTCGCCCCAGTGGCTCTGGAGTTTCCCATGTTAACCTTATGAGAAATGGAATTAATGAATCTTAACAGCTGTTTCAATTAAACAAGTTGGTTCTGTTCTATGATGTTCAATAGCATTAAAGTTACAAGGATTACCAACAGGGTGCAGCACTATTATTTCTTTTACATTTATGACAACAGCTAATTTGCAACCAAAAGGTGAGTGAGCGTAGCGAACGAACTTCAACCTGGAGGCGAGTGAGCGTAGCGAACGAGCTAACCTGAAGGCAAGTGAGCGCAGCGAACGAGCTCCAACCTAAAGGTGAGTGAGCGTAGCGAACGAGCTCCAACCCAAAGGTGAGTGAGCGTAGCGAACGAACTTCAACCAGGACGTGATTGAGCGATGCGAACGAGATCATCTTGAAAATTAAACGTAACGGTACTTTCTTTCCATCGGTCTGTCTTAGGGGAAACCTATAACTTAGGCGATACGAAGTTCGCCGGGTCAGCTAGTATCTATATATAAATATATATCTAAATTTGAACAAATGGTGTTTTTAGCCTCTGGGGACATCAAAATGAAAAGGAAATCGGTCCCGGGCCTAGGTCTTACCGTGCCCCCTACGGTAAAAGCTACTTCCTTATAGGGAAATTCACTAAAAGCTTAACACCAACACATCTAGAACCATAGCTATATTTTCCATGGGTTAAATATCCTTCCTAATGGCTTCCTCTTGACTATAATCATAGACAAAAAGAATTAAATATAGACTGTCAGCCGTGCTGCGGTTACCATAGGTTCCGGCGCACACCGCTGTAGTTTACGTAGCGTGTACGCCGTAACTACATGGCGCTACAAGTGGTGTGCGCCAGAAGCTATGGTAACCGCAGCACAGCTGACGGTCTATATTTAATTCTTTTTGTCTATGCTATAATAGTCCAAGATGTACCAGTATTTTTGTTTGGTGTGATGATTGTCCAGAAACGCAAAGTGTGATTGAGTTGAGTATCAGCCATACGTTTTTTTTGTTGCTTACTATCGGGGAACCATTTTAAAATGTAAAGAACAAACCACTGTTAACTTTCACGTCAAAAATCAACGTTTAATACTGTTCTCAACTTTTAGCCATACAAATGACTTCTTACAGGTCGTCCGTATTAGTTGGGCAAGTCTTTTGAACAGCAGCTTGGATTAATTTCATATAGGTTGTACCTGCTGCCGGGAAGCACAGCAGCACTGTCTGAACAGCATTCAGTTTTATTATAAATAGTTATTTGTGTAACTAGTGGGCGAAGTGGCACTTCGTTGCACTCGAGAAAAATGTTTACGCGCGAGTCATAGGCAAGTGTGGAAAGTTTCTCGAGTGCAGCAAAGGCAGTTTACACTCGTCTTATACATTATATTTTTCCTACAGTTACTATAAATCATATAAATAATTAGTCTTTCAAACACTGCACGACATGTTTTTATGTTAGGTTGAATACAAACATTGAACAAATGAGGGAACGCTGCAACAGCTGATCGTAGTCGAGATATCTTTAAGTGTTGCCAACTTATTTTCAAGTGTACATGGATTAAGTGCATAATAAAAGCACACTATTTTGTGTTGTTTGGTTGGAATACTGGTGTGCGCCAAAGTAAGGCTTTCTGTACTATAATCTGTGCAAGGAAGCCGGCTTTGTCAGGGTGACTGTAGGAAATAGTTATTTGTGTAACTAGTGGTGAAAGTGGCACTTTGCTGCACACGAGAGCAATGTTTACGCACGAGCCTGCGGCTCGTGCGGAATGATCTCGAGTGCAGCAAAGGCCTTTTTCACTCGTGTTACACATTATATTTTTCCTACAGTCACTATAAAGCATATAAATGATTAGTCTTTCAAACACTATACAACACGTTTTTAGGTTCAGCTGGCAACACAAATGGTGCCCTAGAGAAAGTAGTACCCGCGGTCCGTATCACTCCGCTATTTTTCCTCGGCAAGAAATGTGCTCCGCGTTTTGAGAATATAGTTCCGTATGTTTTTGTAATTTGAAGTGGTTTCCGCACCAAAAAAAAAACTTCTTTTAAGGTATTTTCTTGTTTATTAATATCGTAGGAATGTTTTAAAAACGTTTAAAAGAAAAGTTCAGAAATACCGAAACTATAAACATGAAATGACAGGTTAAATCGTAGTTATAATAGTCAATCAGCTGCTTATAGTATTATTATCTTTAAGTGTTGCCAACCGATTTCCAAGCGTACACGGATTACGTACATAATAGAACCAAGCTGTTTTGTGTCGTTTCGTTGGAATCCTGATGTGCGGCAAAGTATAAACCGTACGGCAAAGTATAAATATGCAGCAATTAGCAGCTTTCTGTACTATAAACAGTACAAGGAAGCCAACTTTGTCGGGTGACTGTAGGAAAATGTAATTTTTATGACTGCTAGTGCCAATTGGGGTAGTGACTAAGGCCGACATTTTCTTTAGACACAGCTGTTCATTAATAGCTACTTTTCACCAGCCTAGTATTACAGTGTTTTAGTTTCACTAACAAGACTACAAGATCGTGCCACTCATATCCATTCATACTTGGCTTAAAATACCTACTTTGTATGGTCGCCATTTCAGTGAAAAGGTATTAAAGTAGTTGGATGGCTGTCAGGCTGAAAGGTTTTTAAAATTGTTAATATATCAAGGATGATTTCCCTCAGTATATGCTAGTATCACACAACTGTGGGCAAAATAATAACACAAACATAAAAAGAGTTATTTAATCATTGGTGACAAAACTAATACATAATAGTACATCAATGTTATACATTGTTAATTACAAATAGAGATGATTGAAATGAAGGTGGGGGCCTAACTTGTGCTGGTCATGGTCCTAGCCATTCTTTAACAGTCTGCCTAAATACCAAGTTTAAGACATAAATGAGTATTAAGCTTAAAACAATAATTAAACACTTAAAACACCAACATACATTAAATTAAATTTGAGAACATATTAACAAACATTTTGAATACAAGTACAAAACAATTATTACTTTCTTATTGCATGCTCGTAGTCGATTCTACGACTTCACCCGATGCTGATTCTATAAAAGCCTTGTTGTTGTCGGTAAACAAATAACAATAACCTCAATCATCTCTAATTTAAAAAAAATATTGTGGCATAGCCATAGTAAATGCATCTAACTTAAATTAACGTATTGTCAAAAATAACAGTTTTATAAATATTCCTATCAAGTAGTGATTAGTTTTTGTTCTAAGATAAAATCTGAGTAGGTACAACACATAGCTAGCGGCCTTTTAGCTGCCGTCCACAAGGCTCACGTAAATGCAGAACTTCAAAAGGAATGTTAATAAATGCTAAAGTTATAGGGTTTTAAAATCGATAAATACCTGCTTTGCCTAATTTATCTAATATAAATAGAGTTAAAAATACTACAACTAAATAATTCTTACATACAACTTTCATCCACTTAGTTCAT